TAGACTAATGTGAGATTTGATTGATATATTAATACTCCCCAGAGAACTTAGTCTACAGATTCTGATTATCAGCTCTCTTTTTCTTCTAGTGTCACCATTAACTGTCTTTATGGGTATTTTTTTAAATTTAATTTGAAAAGACTGTCAAGAATTTTAGTTCTGACATTCATCTAGAGCCTGTCTTACCTTTCTTTTAAAGCTACTATAAAATTATTATTTATGGTTTTTCTGCAAAGAGTCATCGTCTGCTGTTTGGATTGTTGTGGAATTGGTTCAGATATTCATGGTCCCCAACAGATTAAATCACTAAACTAACTGTTACAAAGCACCCTTCAATTGTCTTAGCAGCATAATGCAATTGTATCTTTTTTGAGTTTTTTGAATAAATGGCCTGTAAATGGCCTGATCCCCTCTGGAGAACACACGTGTCTACACAAAATATCTTAATGGTTCATCTTGTGGGTGTGTTCATCATCTTGTGTGTGTATAGCGCTTTACTTAGTCCCTAAGGACCCCAAAGCACTTTACACTACATTCACCCATTCACACACTGGTGATGGCAAGCTACATCGTAGCCACAGCTGCCCTGGGGCGCACTGACAGAGGCAAGGCTGCCGGACACTGGCGCCACCAGGCCCTCTGACCACCACCAGTAGCCAACGGACGAAGTGTCTTGCCCAAGGACACAACGACCGAGACTGTCCGAGCTGGGGCTCAAACCGGCAACCTTCCAATTACAAAACAAACTGCCAACTCTTGAGCCACGATCGCCCCACAAGATGAACCATTAAGATATTTTGTGTAGACACGTGTTCCCGAGAGGGTTAAGTTTAAAAACTAAATTTTTTATTAAAAGCACTGCAAAATTGCAATGCAGGGTCTTTCCTCTTGCGTCACTATGAAATGATCAGTCGTGTGTTGCTGTTTTTGTGGTTGTCGTTTCACAGCTACAGGATGAATTATCATTAAATTTAGCACAGATATCAGTGTTCCCCACAGGATTAATAACCTAGCAGCAACATGATGTTGTGTGCATGTTTACATAAACATTGGGACAACTACTGAACAGATTTGGATGGGAGTTGTTACTCATTCAGCCCCCAGAGGTTTTATTCAGTTTGAGACTGTCATTATTTTATAATTTTTTCCTCTAGTTTAACCATCTAGTGTTCTTTGTGTTTTTATTGGAGAATTTAAACAACCACAGGATAGGTTACAGAGACACTCCACAGATATTTAAGTTTGATCTCACTTTAATGACTTTCTTCTGTTAAAGCCTACAGTTTATAGAGCTGTAGTGGGGGAAAAAAGAAAAAAAACAGAACAATGTTATGATAGCTTGTCATGGAATTTGGTGAAGACCATAGAAAATGATTTGTAATAAACACTGGTGATCCATTCATTTTATTCTGTCTCATCATGGGGTCAAATTTTCAACTCGTACAATAATTTGGATCATAGCCAAATACTTAATGGCCCATGACATCCCCATTAGTCGCAGCCACATTTGTATTTAGTGCTATCAAACAAATGTAAGAATAATAACACTAAAATATGACAGCAGCCCTTTATTATAGGTAAATTGGGGAGATTGCAGCATTAAATTTCTCACTATAAACCAGACAGGCAGAACATGCCTCTTTTCTGCCCTCTCCCTCACTACTGTTCATCATCCTCCCATGTCTGTTTACCCAAGCATCCCTGCAGGCTGTCATTAGTGCAAGATAAGCAACAGAAGCACACACGCAAGGGCACATAAGCAATCTGTTTGCATAGATTGGCAAAAAAAATAAGCTTCCAATGTGCCTTATCAGAGGACGAATGTACACACGCAAAAGACGCCAAGTCCTCAGACTCATGCGTGCAACATGGTCCGATCTTCCCACGGACATACACTGCACTAATTATTCAGTGATAAGAGTCTCCAAAGTGGCCTCAATGTTGAACCTGCTGACAGAGGTGTCTGCTCATCTTACTAAACACACCTCTGTGGCTAAGCTCAAGGCCAATCAGTATTTACAGTCTGTGGGAAACACCCTTCCAAATTACAATGTGTCAATCCTCTCGCTCACGCACTCAAGAAACATAATCACTGCACGGCTCTGTGAAAACACTGTGGTTTGGCACTGTTACTAAAAGTGTAGCTTGTGTGCTTTTGTTACAGTATCTGAGGAATACAATGGGCCAATATGCTGGGAACATGCCGGGTATAAAGTTAGAAAGGTGCTCTGCAGCCTCCTGAGAGAAAGATCAGGCGTATGACCTTTAGCAACCCTGACAGACCACAGCGACCACAGCTTTTACTTGTAGCAGAGTACTCCTACACAGTGGTATGGCTGTTTTTACTACAGTAAAAGATCTGAATACTTTATATTCCACTGCTGATGAGCTATACAACACTGGCTCCATCAAACTATGTAAGGAGAAGAAAAATGTTTTATTGCACGTGAACACCCTGTATTAAGATAACGCGTATCATAGCCAAAAGCATAATAATGAAAAAGGCAACTTGTTCATGCCTTCCAAGCTTAAACTCACACTATGTAAATTCTTTTATTTTAATATTCTTTTCACACTTACAGATTCAACAAGGTGATGGAAACAGTCATCAGACGTTTTGGTTCCGTTTCACAGTTACTGCACATTTGTCAGCTGAACATCCATGAAGCCAGTCTGCAGTCCCACCACATCCTGCTGCTCTATCGAATTTAGAACTGGTGACTGTGGAGGCCATTTGAGTACAGTGAAC